CCTAAGGCCTTAATGAACACTAATTGCTCGGTAAAATGCTCAAGAGAGCTTAGATTATGATCTTTTCTTGATTATGAGTTAAATTGTGCTATATTGCTTAAATAGATTGAGGTGCGAACATTCCGGAGCGTTATAGGATTAAGGAAAGCTCGGTTGAGGTATGTATGGCTAAAACCCCGTCTTTTAGAAATTGAGCTTCATCGGTGATTGTGTGGGCATAGCAAGATTAAAGTTGAATTGTTGCATTGCTTGTTGTTTTACATGAGTTGGTGTTGTAACCTTATGTGTGTGAAAAATGTGTCCCAACATAATCAACGTGCTATCTGGACAGCTTGAAAGGGGAAAAGGTATGAATTATGTATTGTAAATGTTTAGACCTTAAATTGAAATTGCAGCTGAATATATTGTGCTATCTACGTGAAATCTTATCTATGTTTACAATTTAAATTGCTCTTGTTTGCACCTACTGTCCTAACTGGCAAAGCTAATATTGAAAATTAGGAATGATGTAAAATGCGGCCTAGTGCCAAGAATGATTTGATAAGTCGTGGCCCCAAGTGCCTATGAAATGATATATGTGAAATGAATTGATTTATAAGAAGGGAACAATGCCTTGATGAGGCGACCCAGCCAATCGGGTCGAGATCGGACTCCGCTCAAGATAGCGGTGGTATTGAAAAGGTATTGTGAATGAATTCCGGAAAAGAAGGAAAATGAGATTGTGATTGAAGCATATGTCTCAAATGAGGCAACCTAGCTGGTCGGGTCGAGATCGGACTCCGCTCAAGATAGCGGTGGTATTGCGAACAAATAATAAATAGTGTGAAATGCCCCAAACTAAAAGCTATGGGAAAATGATGTGAAAGTTGTATGATTCTTTTATTAGATAATGTGGTGATCGTTTAAAGTTTTGAGTTATACTTGTGATTTCTTATTCTTTTATGAAAGTTCTTTCTAAGTAGATGGCATTTAGTTATACATACTAGTACTATTCCATGGTACTAACGTCCCTTTTGCCGAGGGCGCTACATTTTTAAATGAATGTAGGTGGCTCCATAGCGGATAGTGTCGATCGTGTGTAGTGGAGCATCCTCTTCTCATACTCTTGGTGAGCCCCTTCCTCCTTCAAGGGGTTTTTTGATATGCCTTTATTTATAGATGTCTATTTTGAGGTATAGCCGGGGCCTTGTCGCCGGCATTGTTATCACTGTCTTGGGTATCATTAGAGGCTTCGTAGACATATGTGTAGGTTATGTACGGGCGTTGGATGGGTCTACGAACTATGATGTAATTCAAATTCTCGTTTTGCTAAAGTATAATTGTATGTAATCTTGGGAACTTAGTTATGGATTAATGTTGTGATTTAAAATGATCTAACCTTGTAGAATGCACTATCTTTCCTCGTCTAAACAAATGAATGAAAGCATGGTTTCCTTATTCGTATCGAGTTGGGTAGGAAGTGTTTGATAAGGCTTGCTCAGTTGGGTTTACTCGATTGAGCGCCGGTCGCGCCTCCCGAGGTTGGGGCATGACAAACTTGGTATCAGAGCCTAAGGTTTTAAAGTGTCCTAGGATGTCTCGGAGCCGTGTCTAGTAGAGTCTTTCTTATCGGTGTGAAGTTGACCACATCCATAAGTTGGGGGCTATTTGGGCATTTAGGAATAACACCTTTCTTTAATATTCTGGATCTTACGGTGAAACTGTTCCCTCTCTAATTAAGTGTGTTGTTCTATCTTTCAGTGCATGACACCTAAGAAGAAAGCAAGAATTGGCCAGGAGACCAATGCTAATGCCACCTCAGGAGTGACTGATGATTCCCTGCTTGATGATGCGGGTGAGGGTAGCCACCATGCTATTGCTCTACCGGATTCTTCTACTCCGGAGTAGACTGCCCCAGTTCCTACACCTGAGGAGGGTACCACTATCCCTCCCGTTGATACCTCTGTCCCGCCGCCAGCTCTAGCTTCTGGTTCTGGTATTTCTGATGGGGATCTTAGGGGAGCCATTCAGATGTTGACCCAGCTAGTGGCCTCTCAGGTCCAGAGGTCAAATGTAGCGCCCAGTTCACCCAGCTAGCAAGGGGATTCTACTAGTTCTAGGGTGAACAAATTTCTTCAGTTAGACCCTCCAGTGTTTACGGGTGCCAATCCATAAGAAGCACTCAGTATTTTACTAATGAGATGCACAAGACCCTTAGGGTTATGCGTGCGACTAAGACAGATGGTTGCCTACCGTCTGAAAGGGGTGGCCTATTCATGGTTTGAGTTGTGGGAAGATTCACGTGGGGAGGGGAGCTCTCCGGCGAGGTGGAGCGAGTTTGTTGATGCCTTCATTGATCATTTCCTGCCCGCTGAGACAAGGGTAGCCCGGGCAGCAGAATTTGAGAATTTGAGGCAAGGTAACAGAAGTGTGTGGGAGTACCCCATGGAGTTTGCTCGCTTGTCCAAGTATGCCATTCATATGTTGCCCAAAATGGAAGCCAAGGTGCGTCGGTTTGTTTAGGGCCTTAATTCTTTGACAATTAATGAGGTTTCTACGGCTGCATTGAATTTTGACATGAATTATGGGAAGATAGTAGCATTTGCTCAGGCCACAGAGAACCGTAAATTGAAGAACAGAATAGAGAGAGAGGGTAATATCAAGGCCCGGTCTACGGGCAACATGAGAGAGTCACTAGGTGGGGGAAGATCAGCTTTCAGGGGAGGATCATCAGGGCCTTCCCAGTCTGTTGCATAGTCTTCATCCAGTGCAACACCATCAAGGCCCAGCCAGCAGCAGTGGAGTCGTTTCAGGCCCGGTCAGGGCAACGAGGGATCCCATCAACGGGGTCGGTTAGGAGGGAGGTTCCACCAGCAGCAAAGGTCCCCGTGCCCCAGGTGCGGGAAGATGCACTCAGGAATTTGCTATATTGAGTTACATATATGCTATGGATGTGGGATGAGGGGTCATATTCAGAGACATTATAATGTATCCCGCCAGGGAGCGGGTAGGGGAACAAATCAGCCATCCAGTCCAGCAGATGCTACATCCTCATCCCCCTCTCCAACTTGAGGTACCCCAGCACCCATAGGGCATGGTGCAGCTAGGGGTGGTGGGCAGAGTTCAGGAGGACCCAGCCGGTTTTATGCTATGAGTGGTCGCCAGACTGTAGAGGCTTCTCCAGATGTTGTTACAGGTATTCTGACTGTCCAATCTCATGATGTGTATGCACTTATTGACCCTGGTTCCACCTTGTCCTATGTTACCCCTTTTGTTGCTATGGGATTCGGGATAGAGCCGGATCAGCTTCATGAGCCCTTTTTGGTGTCTACCCCAGTTGGTGAGTCTATTACAGCTGCTCGAGTTTATAGGGGATGTGTTGTTACGGTACGGGGTAGGGATACCGCGGCTGATCTTATTAAGTTAGGGATGGTCGACTTTGATCTAATAATGGGAATGGATTGGCTTTATTCATGCTTTGCCAAACTTGATTGTCGGACTAGAACCATTAAGCTTGAATTTCCTAATGAGCTCATTATTAAATGGAAGGGAGATAATGTAGTGCCTAGAGGTCGGTTTATTTCCTACCTTAATGCCGCAATAATGATCAAGAAGGGGTGTATCTATCATCTAGTTCAGGTCACGGACACCAATACCGAGGTGCTTAGCCTTGAGTCTATACCAGTGGTGAATGAATTTTCGGACGTCTTTCCAGATGAACTCCTTGGGAGTCCACCGGACACGGAGATTGATTTTGGGATCGATGTGATACCAGGCACGCAACCTATATCAATTCCACCTTACAGAATGGCACCGGTAGAATTGAAAGAGCTAAAGGAACAATTGAAGGATTTGCTAGAGAAGGGTTTCATCCGGCCGAGTGTGTTGCCATAGGGCACACCAGTCTTGTTTGTAAGAAAGAAAGATGGATCGTTGTGGATGTGTATTGACTACCGGCAACTCAACAAGGTCACAATCAAAAACAAATATCCTCTGCCTAGAATAGATGACTTATTTGATCAATTGCAAGGTGCTACATGTTTCTCAAAGATTGACTTGCGGTCCGGGTACCATCAATTGAAGATAAGGGAGCAAGATATTCCAAAAACAACCTTCAGAACTCGGTATGGGCACTTTGAATTTATGGTAATGTCTTTTGGGCTAACAAATGCCCCAGTAGCTTTCATGGATCTTATGAATCGAGTCTTCAAACCCTTTCTAGACTCCTTTGTAATAGTGTTTATTGATGATATCCTTATGTATTCTCGAAGTCGGGAGGACCATGCTGCCCATCTCAGGGCAGTTTTGCAGACTCTTCAGCAACATCAATTGTATGCAAAATTTTTGAAATGTGAATTCTGGCTTGAATCTGTCGCGTTCTTGGGCCATGTCATTTCCAGGGAAGGAATTCTGGTTGATCCTCAAAAGATTGCAGCAGTGAAGAATTGGCCTAGACCTACCACTCCAACTGAGATTCGCAGTTTCTTACGCTTGGTTGGGTACTACAGGAGGTCTGTGGAGGGGTTTTCTACTCTTGCCTCTCCATTGACTAAATTGACGTAGAAAGCAGTTAAATTCCAGTGGTCTGATGCTTGTGAAAAGAGATTCCAAGAATTGAAGTCAAGATTAACAACAACACTGGTGTTAGCCCTACTAGAGGGTACAGAGGGGTTTGTAGTGTATTGCGATGCTTCGAGTATCGGGCTTGGGTGTGTGTTAATGCAACACGGCAAGTTTATAGCCTATGCTTCTAGGCAACTCAAGAATCATGAGAATAACTATACAACCCATGACTTAGAGTTGGCAGCAGTGGTGCTTGTACTAAAGATTTGGCGACATTATTTGTATGGGGTCCATATGGATGTATTTACGGATCATAAGAGCCTTCAATATATTTTCAAGCAGAAAGAGTTGAATCTGAGGCAAAGAAGATGGCTAGAGTTACTCAAGGACTATGACTTTGATATTCTCTGTCACTCGGGAAAGGATAATGTTGTGGTAGATGCACTTAGTCGAAAACCATGGGAAGTTTAGCTCACTTGGAGGCCCATCAGAGGCTGTTGGCCAGGGAGGTTCACCAGTTGGCTAGTTTGGGAGTTCGCCTTGTGGACTCTAATGAAAGAGGGGTAATTATGCATAATAGGGCTAAATCATTGCTTGTGGCATAGGTGAAAGAGAAGCAATTCGTGGATCCGTTGTTAGCACAACTGAAAGAGGGGATTCTCAAACACAAAACCACAGCTTTTTCCTTTGGCATGAATGATGGTACCCTACGGTACCAAGACCGCCTATGTGTTCCTGATATTGACGGTCTTCGGGAAAGGATCATGGCAGAAGCTCACACTTCTAGGTATTCCGTGCACCCAGGTTCCACGAAAATGTATCATGATCTCAAGGAAATTTATTGGTGGAATAACATGAAAAACGATGTGGCATACTTTGTGGCAAAATGTTCGAATTGTCAGGCAAGTAAAGGCCGAACACCAAAGGCCCGGTAGATTGGCTCAAAGCATAGAAATTCCAATGTGGAAATGGGAGATGATCAACATGGATTTTGTGGTAGGGTTACCACGCACTCCGTGCAAGTTCGACTCAATTTGGGTTATTGTTGATCGACTCACAAAGTCAGCGCACTTCCTGCCAGTCAAATCTACCGACACAGCGGAACGGTATGCTCAGTTGTATATCAAAGAAATAGTCAGGTTACATGGCACTCCAGTCTCAATCATTTCAGATCGAGGGGCTCAGTTCACAGCCAACTTTTGGAAGAAGTTTCAGCAAGGTTTGGGTATACAGGTAAATCTTAGCACAACTTTTCATCCACAAACCGATAGGCAAGCAGAGCGGACTATTCAGACGCTTGAGGACATGTTGTGTGCTTGTACTCTTGATTTCAAGGGTAGTTGGGATGACCATTTGCCACTCATAGAATTTGCTTACAACAACAGCTTCCATGCTAGTATCCAAATGTCACCATTCGAGGCACTGTATGGTAGGAGATGTAGGTCTCCCATTGGGTGGTTCGATGTTGGAGAAGCGGAATTTATAGGGTCAGACCTCGTGCATGGAGAAAGTCAAGATTATTAAGGAGAGGTTGAAAACTGCTCAGAGTCGCCAAAAGTCTTACTCGGATGTTCGTCTCAGAGATTTGGAGTTCAAAGAAGATGATTGGGTATTTTTGAAGGTTTCCCCTATAAAGTGTGTCATGCGATTTGGAAAGAAGGGAAAATTGAGTCTGAGGTATGGCGGACCATACAAAATCATTCAGAGGATTGGTCAGTGGCATACAAGCTCGAGGTGCCGCCCGAAATGTCATTAGTACACCCGGCCTTTCATGTGTCCATGTTGAGGAAGGTAGTGGGAGATCCGTCCTCTATTGTGCTAGTTGAAACTATTGAGGTAAATGAAAAACTGTCATATGAAGAAGTTCCAGTTGCCATTCTTGATAGGCAGGTTCGGAAATTGAGAAATAAGGAAATTACATTCGTGAAAATATTATGGCGGAACCAGCAAGTTGAGGAAGCCACTTAGGAAGCCAAGGATGAAATGAAAAGGAAGTATCCACGTCTATTTGAATAGTCATGTAATAGCTTTTATGCATTTAGCTCCTATGAACTCTTATCTTTAGACTTGATCTATGTAAAATTGTCCCTTTTTTGGTAAAATATTGCATATATGGCCATGGTTGATGATTGTACAAGTTATGTTACGATTATGAAATATGGTCATGCTGTTAGGATATGTTCTAGGGATCTCTGACAGGTGGATAAGGCTTAGAGACAAAGGAAACTCTGGCGAAATTTTCGGAAATTCAGGGAGTTGACCAAATTTGGAGACTAATAGTATGTAAGCAGTAGGTTGCCTAGAGATCGCTAATAAGCAAACCTTGATCCTCATTCGAGGATGAATGATCTTAAGTGGTGGAGGATGTGAGGCCCCGTGAAAAATTTCCACCCTAAACCCAAAAGCTCGTAGTGGCAATTAGGATGATGTGTTAGAGATGCGTAAAATTCTTTGCGATGAGCTAGCTTGCCGCGGTTCAGACCTTTTTGGACTGATCTATGCTATAAAAATTCAAGAAATAATGTTTTCCAGAAAATACGATTCTGCGGTCGAGAATGCGGTCACATATCAGGTATGCGGACCGCATAATCGCCACAAAGTGATTCAATGTATTGGTCAAATTTGAGGTCAACTATGCGGTCAAGTATGCGATCGCATAACCGATATGCGGACTGCATAGTCGTAGCATATTTCCCTTAGGATTTTGTGAAGGGCTGTTCTACAGTGCATTATGCGACCGCAGAACTGCTGCATACCCAGGCAGTGTGTTCAGGTCTTGGGGACCATTTTTGCGGTCCATTATGCGGACCGCATGTCAGCTTTTCGATCGCAGATCCGACTCGGGGCTCCAATTTTCTAAATTTTAAACCTGACCCCCTATCGTTATATACGGTGTAATAGCTCATTTGAGCTTGTTTTTCTGATGCTTTTAGAGAGAGAGAGAGAGAGAGGGTTTTAGAGAGGGGAAGTGACTTTCACCAATATTGATCCAAAAATCCTTGTTGAATCATTGAAGATAATCAAGTGAGGGACCTAAACCTTCATCCCAAGAGGTAAGGCTTCATCACCTCAGCTCTCATTTTTACACATAGCTACAAAGGGTCATTAGTGAGGTAATTCATGGGGATAAGGGGGTTTGCATTGCATGCATGTGTTCTTGAAGAGTATGAGGAATTATATAAGAGAAGGCATGGGTAATGGGCTAGTGTAATCTTGCATAAAAAGAACCCTAAGGCCTTAATGAACACTAATTGCTCGGTAAAATGCTCAAGAGAGATTAGATTATGATCTTTTCTTGATTATGAGTTAAATTGTGCTATATTGCTTAAATAGATTGAGGTGCGAACATTCCGGAACGTTATAGGATTAAGGAAAGCTCAGTTGAGGTATGTATGGCCAAAACCCCGTCTTTTAAAAATTGAGCTTCATCGGTGATTGTGTGGGCATGGCAAGATTAAAGATGAATTGTTGCATTGGTTGTTGTTTTACATGAGTTGGTGTTGTAACCTTATGTGTGTGAAAAATGTGTCCCAGCATAATCAACGTACTATCTAGATAGCTTGAAAGGGGCAAAGGTATGAATTATGTATTGGAAATGTTTAGACCTTAAATTGAGATTGCAGCTGAATATATTGTTCTATCTATGTGAAATCTTATCCTATGTATACAATTTAAATTACTCTTGTGTGCACCTACTGTCCTAACTGGCAAAGCTAATATTGAAAATTGGGAACGATGTAAAATGCGGCCTAGTTCCAAGAATGATTTGATAAGTCGTGGCTTCAAGTGCCTATGAAATGATATATTTGAAATGAATTGATTTATGAGAAGGGAACAATGCCTTGATGAGGTGACCTAGCCGATCGGGTCGAGATCGGACTCCGCTCAAGATAGCGGTGGTATTGGAAAGGTATTGTGAATGAATTTCGGAAAAGAAGGAAAATGAGATTGTGATTGAAGCGTATGTCTCAATTGAGGCAACCTAGACGATCGAGTCAAGATCGAACTCCGCTCAAGATAGCGGTGATATTGTGAACAAATAATGAATAGTGTGAAATGCCCCAAACTAAATCTATGGGAAAATGATGTGAAAGTTGTATGATTGTTTTATTTGATAATGTGGTGATCGTTTAAAGTTTTGAGTTATACTTGTGATTTCTTATTCTTGTATGAAAGTTCTTTCTAAGTAGATGGTGTTTAGTTATACATACTAGTACTATTCCATGGTACTAACGTCCCTTTTGCCAGGGGCGCTACATTTTTAAATGAATGTAGGTGGCTCCATAGCGGATAGTGCCGATCGCGTGTAGCGGAGCATCCTCTTCTCAAACTCTTGGTGAGCCCCTTCCTCCTTCAAGGGGTTTTGTGATATACCTTTTGGTATAGATGTCTATTTTGAGGTATAGCCGGGGCATTGTCGTTGGCGTTGTTATCACTGTTTTGGGTATCCTTAGAGGCTCCGTAGACATATGTGTGGGTTATGTACGGGCATTGGATGGGTCTACGAACTATGATGTAATTCAAATTCTCGTTTTGCTAAAGTATAATTGTATGTAATCTTGGGAACTTAATTACGGATTAATGTTGTGATTTTAAATAAACTAACCTTGTAGAATGTACTATCTTTTCTCGTCTAAACAAATGAATGAAAGCATGGATTCCTTATTCGTATCGAGTTGGGTAGGAAGTGTTTGATAAGACTTGCTCAGTTGGGTTTCCTCGATTGAGCACCGGTCGCGCCTCCCGAGGTTAGGGTGTGGCAATCAGCTTCAGAGATTCGGAGTTTCTTGGGATTGGCAGGCTACTACCATCGGTTCATGAAGGGGTTCTCATCTATTGCAGCCCCGATGACCAGGTTGACCCAGAAGGGTGCCCAGTTCAGATGGTCGGACGAGTGTGAGGCGAGCTTTTAGAAGCTCAAGACAGCTCTGACTACGGCACCAGTGTTAGTTCTGCCCACTGGTTCAGGGCCTTACACAGTTTATTGTGATGCTTCCCATATTAGGCTTGGCGCAGTGTTGATGCAGGATGGCAAGGTCATTGCCTAAGTTTCAAGGCAGTTGAAGATTCACGAGAAGAACTATATGGTTCATGATTTAGAGTTGGCAACCATTGTTCATGCATTGAAGATTTGGAGGCACTATCTGTATGGTGTGGCGTGTGAGGTGTTCACGGATCATAAGAGTCTTTAGTATTTATTCAAGCAAAATGAGTTGAATTTTAGGCAAAGAAGGTGGTTGGAGTTGTTGAAGGATTATGACATCACCATCTTATATCACCCGGGAAAGGCCAATGTGGTGGCCGATGCTTTGAGTAGAAAGTCAGCCAGCATGGGCAGTCTTGCTTATATTCCGATCGGTGATAGGCCGCTTGCGTTGGATGTTCAGGCTTTGGCCAATCGATTTGTGAGATTGGATATCTCTGAGACTAGCTGAGTATTAGCTTGCACGGTCGCTCGTTCTTCATTATTGGAGCGTATCCGTGATCGACAGTTTGATGATCCCCATTTGTGTGTCCTTAGAGACACGATGCAGCATGGAGGTGCTAAGTAGGTTACCTTAGG